AAAGACCTAAATAGACACTTCTCCAAAGTGGACATACAGATGGCCATGAGACATGAAAAAATGCTCAAAGTCACTGATCATCAGAGAGATGCAAACTAAAATGACAATGAGGTATCACCTCACTTCTGTCAGAATGGCTACCATCAACAAATCAACAAATGGCAAGTGCTGGCAAGGATGTGGAGAAAAGGGAACTCTAGTACACTGCTGGTGGGAATGCAGGCTGGTGCAGCCATTATGGAAAACAGTTTGAAGTTTCCTCAAAATATCAAATATGGAACTGCCATTTGACCCAATGATCACACTTCTAGAGATATATACTAAGAAACCTGGAACACCAATCAGAAAGAATGTATGAACCCCTATGTTCATAGCAGCACAATTTATAATAGCTAAGATCTGGAAACAGCCCAAGTGCCCATCAGCTGATGAGTGAATAAAAAAAGCTGTGGAACATTTACACCATGGAATACTCTGCAGCAGTAAAAAAGAAAAAAATCTCTTACCCTTTGAGACAGCATGGAGGGACCTAGAGAGTATCATGCTAAGTGAAATAAATCAGTCAGAGAAAGACAAGTATCACATAATCTCACTTGTATGTGGGATCTAATTAACAAAATGAACTGACTAACAGAGCGGATCCAGAGACATGGAAACATGGAACAGAATGCAGAATCTCGGAGAGAAGTTGGGGGAGTGTGGGTGTGTGCGAAGTGATCAACCAAAGACCTTGTATGCATATATGCATAATCTATGGACACAGACAATAGGGTGGTGAAGGCCTGGGGCAAGGGGTAGGGGCAGGCTAGAGGAGGTCAATGGGGGGAAACTGGGGACATATGTAATACTTTCAATAATAAAAATTTAAAAGAATAATAATAATAAACATATCCTTGGGTGGGGATTAAGAAAAACTGAAGAAAATAAAATAAACCTAAGCATTTTTATTTTTTTATTTTTTATTACATTTTTAATTCTCACCCAAGGATATGTTTTTATTGATTATAGAGAGAGAGAGAAACATCAATGAAAGAGAGTATCATTCATTGATTGCCTCCTATACACACCACTACCAGGATCATACCTGCCACCCAGGCACATTCCCTGAGAAAGAATTGAACAAATAACCTTTTTGGTGTTCAGGATGATGCTCCAACCAACTGAGCTACCCACCCAGGGTCTAAGCATTTTTATTAATGAAGCAATTTATGTATTTTTTAAATTAATAAGTATGCTTATCACCTACTATTAACATGTGAAAGGTTAAATAATAAAATATGTTAGACAATTAAAGAATCCACATTTCAAAAGGGGCCCTAGTGGTTTGGCTCAGTGGATAGAGTGTGGGCCTGGGAACTGAATGGTCCTGGATTGAATTTTGGTCAATGGCATGCACCTCACTGCAGGCTCTTGGCCCTGGTCTGTGACTTGTGGGAAGCAACCTGTCTCTCTCTCTCCCTTCTACTCTTTCTAAAAATCAATGGAAAAAATATCCTCGAGTGAGGAATAAAAATAAATAATGAAGGCATAAGACAATATATAATCAATTTTCAGGGAAATGTGCAAAAATATTATCAGTGCAAGTTTAAAAGAGTAATGTATCAGTGCTTGTTAGCCACATGAAGGCAATATTTAAAAATATACAGGATTTAACCTATAGCTTAAAGGATTTTTAAGATTAAGATAGGTGAAATAGGAAGAGTGTAGTTTCTTTAAAATAAGATGAATTATTTAAACACTGCACCAGATGGAAAAGTACAAAAAAAAGAAAGAAAAAGAAAACAAATTCATTTTAAGCAGGAGATTTCTGTTGAGAAACTTAAAAAAAATCATCTGAAAGGTAGTTTGAGACTTAGACATTTAACAGACAGAAGGGTGAACAGTATCAAATATTTTATCCAAACAATTCTAATGTTTTCATAGACCAATTTTTAAATAGAGTACAGGATTGATTAAAGATTGAAAAAAAAATACAAGCAAGAAATCCAAATGAACAGTGGGTTAGAAACTTTTTACTCAACAGAATATTTTCTTCAAATTAAATCTAACTGATTTCCAACATGTAAAACAGGAGAAATGACATTGTTTTAGAGCAATAGACTTCCTCAGTCAGGTTGGTATTTATGTAGACAATTAATGGCAATACAACTTTAACCAATGGTATTTCCTAGAATATGAAAAAGTTTTAGTAACATATTAAAGTGTGCTTGTTTATACTAAATTATAGATGATATTCCTAAACAGATATTCCAATCAGGGCTTCTGAAACAAGGTCTTCAGGTTGCAATACATTGAGATAGAAGATTATTTAGGTAGCTTTAACAAGAGAGGAAAATTGAACAGCCAAAGATAATATCATTCCCTGTATAAGACCTCTCAGTAACTATCCATCACCCACAGGCAGAATTCCAAACTCCTTGTCAGAGCTGATGAGGCCCTCTGTGATCCGGCATGTCCTCCCTCCCTTCTCCTGCTCTTCTGGGGCCAACCTTCTTCATTTGCCAGCTCTTTCCAGCCAGAGAACTATTTGAGTTCTCCAAATATTTTATCTTTTCTCTTTCTCCAGACATGTGGTACTTAGAATACCCTCTTTCCATTGGTCGGCAGATCGCTGCCAAGCTTAGGACTAGTTCTAGCCTCCCTGCTCTCTGTTCCTACAGTATTTGATATTGTTGATTATTTGCTTAATATTGGTCTTCCCATTGGGTTCATGCTCTGTGAAAAAATACTGTCACCTGACACATGATTGTTGAATGAAAGGATGATAAATTCAGGTGTTGCTGTTTTTCAATAGACTTTATTTTGTTAGATCGGTTTTAGGTTAACAGTATAATTGAACAAAAACCACAGATTTTCTGCCCTGACTCCCATGCATAGCCTCTGCTACCATCACATCTCCCACCAAAGTGGAACCTTTTTGAAGTGCTGAACCTACCTTGACACATCATAATCACCCAAAGCCCATGGCTCTTGGTGTTGCTTATTCTGTGGTTTTGAACAAATGTATAATGACATCTATTCATTATTATGGTATCATACAGAGTAGTTTCACTGTCCTAAAATCCTGT